TTTGTTGAATTTTGCAATTCCTACTTGGCTGAGATGATATCTCATAGTTGTTTTGATTTGCATCTCTCTTAGAGCTAGGGATTTTGAACATTTCTTCATGTGTTTGTTTCCATCTGAATGTCTTTGGTGAAGTGTCTGTTCATATCCTGTCTCCATTTTTCAATTGGGTTGTTTACCTTTATCTTGTTGTGGTGTCAACTTCTAACTTAAAGATTGACTGTTAAATATAATCTATCAGCACTACAGAGAAAAAAAGGTCTGGCGATGCACTTCTGTAAGATTGTAGTCAAGAAAACTCCATGGAGCGGTTAAACTCTGTAACACTTGGGATTGCCAGGAGTCAGAATCAACTCAAGGGCAGTAGGTTTGGTTTTTATTTATGTTTAAATATAGGCAGAATTTGCTGTGACTAAACTGTTGGCAGTGACATTTCAGAAATATGTATCTTAAAACATTTTTTGTTCTTTTTGTTTAAGTACCATTCTCAATGTTTAGGCAAAAGTTTTTGTTCCCTTTAGGAAGAAATAGAAAATGAAAACATTCTCATTTTATGAAGTTTATTTCAATCATTGTGCAGACCAAATATTTTGAAGTGCTTTTAGGAAAAGCTGTTTGTAACTATTTTGACTTAAATATTGATGGAAATAATGCTACAGCCAAACTATCATGTATAAGATATTTTTTTAAATGCCAAAGAGAAAAGATTACATTTAAGGAAACTGAAAAAAATAATTAGTAAGCCCTTTGACCTCTATGCCATTGTACCAATTCTTGTTATTTTTGTTGGTTGCCATCAAGACAGTTCTGAAGTCCAGAGTAGAACTATCCTGTGAAGCTCTCAAGATTGTGATCTTTAAAAAGGAGATCACCAGTCCTGATCATTCAAGACACCCCTGTGTGGGTTTAGACAACTAAGCTTGTAGCTAGTGAATGTTTGCTTACCCCATACACCACTCCTCTAGAAAGCTTGGGTGAAAACTATCAGTTCTAGCACCATGGAGTAGAAATTCCAGTTCAACTCTGTCACATGTGGAAATCTATTTCTCCTCTATCTCTCCTGCTGATGCTGCTGATGCTCTTGCTGTTGCTCTGTTCTCGATCCTGGTCTGTCTTAGTAGGAATCTATGGTGCAGTGGATGTGCTACACTCTCCACTTCTTTCTTGATGGTAGTGAGATTTCAATTTTCTACTGCTAATAAGCCTGGTGGGATGGCAAGATTAACCAGTCTCCCATTAGTTAATATGTACACCTTGTTCTCATGTTCCCATACAAAAGGGGCTATTCACCTCATTCACATATTTATATGGCCCCACTCAACCATGTGGTGAAAGTTCTGCCACATTACACAAACAAACTCAAGCTCTTTGCCCTCAAGTATTTACTCATATTTGACCCTCAATCCAGTAGGCTTCTGAGGCTATAAATTGCATGGGAGTAGACTGCCCACCTTTCATCTACAGAGCTGCTAGTGGATTCAGACTGCCAGAAGGATGTGGCCTTTGGGTTAATAGCACAGTTCCCTATGGACTACGCCACCACACAGTAACACCCTCTTTATATGTTGAAGGGAGCGTCTATATGTGCAGCTTCAATATATGACCCAGACCTGTATAGTACTTAGATCTCTATTGTGATTTTTCTGAAAGGATCAAAGATACTTTGTGATAGAGAAGATAGTTACTTCAATCCTACTATTTTCATTTGAGCAAGAGTTCTTATTCGCTTTATAGTTATTTAAGCAATAATCCATATTTGTTTACTTACATATTTTCATTTTTTTTACTTCTTGTTGTTTTGTTGTTATGTGCCATTGAGTTGCTTGCGACTCATATCGACCCTATGTACAACAGCCCTGAACTCTGTTCTGTCCTGTTCCAATCTCATTGTCTCTGACACACTCGTCCTGATTACCACAGTCACCGAATCAGTCCATGTCCTAGAGGGCCTTCCCCTCCTGCGCCTGTCCTCCACCCTCCCAAGCATGATGTCCTTCTCCAAGGACCAGTCTCTCCTTACAACATGACCAAAGTGTGTCGGATGAAGCCTCAGAATCCTTGCCTCCAAGGAGCAGCCTGGTTTTGCTTACTTAATATTAAATAAGTTATTCACGCTTGTAAATCTCTCATTATACAAAAACTGTAGAAAAAGAAACACTAACAAGTAGTTAGTCTCTTCTTTCTCTAACTCTAGTCATAATTTTTATGCTTTGCTATATGGCTCAATACTATCTTTTGGGACTTGGAATATGGGTAAAGATTTAAAATTAGTAAATTTCTGAAATATTCAGGGGAACCCTTTATCTATGTACTTTCCATCCTTTAGTTCTAGTTTTGCACTGGTATGTTATTTTATACACTTCTGCCATTATCAAGGTTTTAATTGTTACTGTTAAATTTAAATTTATGGCCAATTCATATTCTCCTATGCCTGATTTAAATAGGATAAATGTTTTCTAAGCGTTATCACTGAAGATGTAGTTCTATAGTGGAAGGTTTAGCTCTTCAGGTAATAGTGAATTTATATTCTAATTCTTTTGCCCTGTTGGAATATAAATGCATTTATTTCCTTTAAATTAGTATTTTCACTTGACTCTCGCTGTTGACTTTCCTCTCAGTAGTAATGACATTTTTTTTCTGAGAAACTTATCTGCCCTTTGGCTTCTTACATTCCCTAGATAGGCTACAAAATAGACTATTTAGACTATATTCTGTTCAAGGGATATCTGGTACAGACAAAATAGGAACAGAAGGAGGAGGGAATGTGGTTAGAGTGAGGCCAACATAATCAAATAGACTTCCCACCCAGCTGATTGTAACTGAGATCAGATAGTTAATCAGTTTACAATTAATTGCTATGGCAATTTAGAAATGTCCTAACAGTTTACCCTGGTTTTCAAGTAAATCACAAGCACTTACCCACCAGGATCCCACTTCCCCAAATTAACGGCTCACTCACAGGAGGACTACACTGAATTTTAAATACCAGGGCCCACCCACCAGATCCTGTTTGCCCACACAGAGGCTCCCCACTCAGCTGATTTTAAACAGAATCAGATATAGTTAATCAGTTTACACTTGATTTCTAACACAATTTAGAAATGTCCAGATTAACACCCTTGGTAAGAGCAGTAAAGAAATATGGAGATGCATTGCAATAGGGAAATCTGCAGTTAGGGACCTTTCTAAATTATTGAGGAGTAGTGATGTCAGTTTGAGGACTCAGATGCCTTTGATTAAGGCCATGGTCTTTCCTATTACTAGCTATGCATCTAAGACCTGGACAATGAATAGAAACGACAGAAAAAGAATTGATGCCTTTGAGCTGTCATGTAGGAGAAGAGCACTGAACATTCTATGGAGAGCCAAGAAAATGAATAAATATGTCTTGGAGAAGGTGAAGCCAGAGGGCTCTTTGAAGGCAAGAATGATGAGGCTTCTCCTAACATACCTTGGGCATATAACTAGGAGGTGCTATTCCTTGGAGAGGGACATGATGTTGGGAAGGGTGGAGGGTCGGCAAAAAAGAGGAAGATACTCAACCAGGTGAATTGATAAGGTGGACTCCTGTGTGCCCACAAGTGTGAGGATGGTACAGGACAGAACTGATGTCAGATCTTTTGTGCATAGGGTTGCTAAGAGTCATACTCAACTCAATGGCACCTAACAACAACAACAGCAGAACAACAACAATAGAAATGATTGTAAAAAATAAAATTTACATAAATGAAACTATATATAAACAAAGGTACAAAAGTGAGTGATTGTATAAAACACAATTTAAAAAATAATTTAGAATTAAATTATTTGATCCATCCCCCCCAAAAAAAGAAATATCTTGACAAATTGGTGAGCAATAGAATATTTTGGTAATTTCAAAAAAGCTCTGCTTCAAGATAATTCTTCATTATAGAGATGAATAAAATAACTTTTCCATGAAAAAAACTTGGTAAGTAACACCTTAATTAATTTATCAAAGTCCTCATGGCAGTTATGGATCAAATAAAATAATACACCATCAGATAAAATATTGTAAGAATATAACACCACTTCTCTAACAGCTAAACCGTCAATTTATGTAATTTTAATTATGAGAAAATATCAGATATGCTTAACTAAGGAATTCCTAATAATAATAATTAGTTTATAATTTCTAAAGGTTGCATTTAATAAAGGTCAAGGGAAAAGTTAAATTATTATAGACATAAAGAAAATAAAGAGACATGATGCCTATTTGACAAGGCATCAAATCAACAAATCTTTTAAAAAAACTTTATAAAGCATTTCAGTCTTTTTTCAAAATATAAAAATGTTAGTAAATAATGTTAGGGAATAAAATCTCAATCGTAGCTCATTTGGTTTAAATTTCTATTGTTCAAATAGATGAAAATTATTTAATTTGAATTCCCTATTTCTCATTTGTGCAGGATGATTGGCCAAAGGAAATGCATATAAGTCAAGATGAAAAATTGGAGCAGAGTCTAAACAATATAAAGGAAGATTGCACGTATATTTCAGTTTATACGCATTTATGGCAAAATGTCTCTCGTATATTTGAAGCAGTCTTGAACATGCAGTCAAGAATAGAAGAATGTTCATCTGTTTTGAAAAGCCATGCATCCAGATTGTTTGATTGGGGTGACATGATCTTGCCAACAAGTAAGCCTTATTTCATTATGAGGGATATGTATGTGTGTTATGTGCACATATATTTGTGTATTCTTATAAAGAGTGAAATTATAGGTATGAAAAAATATTAAAATATAAAGTCTATTTTATTTTAAAGGCTATTTATTCAGAACGGACTGATAAATATAATCTCATTGAACTTGAACATTTATCTGGAAAGATTAATGTTAATAGAACAAAACCTAGAGCAGAACTTGATTAAACTGAACCTGGAGGTAGCAGGATAGCAGATAAAGAAACTGACAAGCCAAAATCTGAGCTGCAGCAGTAGATTCCCACAACAGATTGTATTAGAGACAAACAAGTCAAGAAAGATCATGATAGGATGGTGGATGTAAGGACAGACAGAGGTGACTTTATGCCCAACAGATGAAACACTACCAGGTCTTGAAGCATCCTAAAAATCACTGACATTTTCAAGTTCATCACTATAGCTAACATCACTTTTCCTGCAGCCATTGATCCCCCTGATAATATTTCCTATGCAAGCAAATCAGACAATGTTATGTTTTGACTAATAATATTTTTATTGTCTTAATTTTGGAAATAGATCACCAAGCGTTTTTCCCAGTCTTAGTGGGGAAGCTCAGCTAAGGCACTCTCCACTGTGAGTGACCCTGCTGGTATTTGAAGTAGTGGTGGCATAGTTTCCAGCATCACTGCAACATGCATGCTATCACAGTAGGACAAGTTGATAATTTAGTAACATTAATTATGTGCAGGATAAGTCCTGCTTTTCAACCATCACCATTATCCATTTCCAAATTTCTTCATCACCCTTACCAAAAAGTAACTTGTCCCCTTCCCCTTTTGTCCCCTTCAACTAACCACATATAAATTTTGGTCTGTTCAAAATATTTCATATAAGAAGAATCATACAGTACCTGCCCTTTTGCGACTTCACATAGTGTCTTCTAGGTTCATCCACGTTGTAGTATACCTTGGGCTTCATTTTCTTTATGACTGAATATTCTACGTATGTCCTGCATTTTATTTATCCATTCATTTGTTGATAGTCATTTAGGCTGTTTAAATTTTTTATATTGTAAATAGTTTTACAATGAACATTTATATACAAGTTCTTGATTGAGTCTCTGTTTTCAGTTCTTTTGAGTCTATAACCAGCAGTGGAAATGCTGAGTCATATGGTAAAGCACGTTTCACTTTTTTTGAGGAATCACCAAACCATTTTCCACAGTGACTGTACCATTTTACAGTCCAATAACAATGGATAAGGGCTTCAATTTCTATGCATCCTTCCCAACACCTGTTGCTTTCTGTTTTCTGGTTTTTTTTTTATCATAGCCATCTTGGAAGTATGAAGTGAATTTTACATTGCTGTTTTGATTTGCTTTTATCTTACGATTAATGACATTGAGGAGGAAGCAGTAGCAGAATTCTAGATTCCATGCAGAAAGTTCAGGTTCAGTTTCCAGCTAATGAATCTCAAGTGTAGTGATGGCCAGTTTGTCGGTGGAGTATTGCCTACTCCTGTGGTGTTAGTAGGTTTCAATGGAGCTTCCAGCTTAGATTGGGAAGAGAGGTTTTGTGATCATCTTTCCAAAACTATAGTAGTCACTGCCCAGCCAATCATGGAAATGTATCATCATTCTGTTGTACACGAGTAACCATGAGTTACATGCCAGCTTATGGCAAGTAACAACAATGAATTCTTCATAATAACATGTAGACTAATGTTTGATCTGTTGGATCAAATAACTTAGCACAGTAATGTTGCCAAATAGACACATAAAAATTAACCATCACAAGTGGCAATGATGTCAGTATTGGAAATTGTAGCCTTGTCTTTGAACAATCAGTAGGTTTAACATGGGCCAGGCAAAATTAAAAGAACATTTTTAAAAAATAATTTGAAAAATATTTTTGAATTCTCTTTTAAAATTGGACATCTTTTGTGGAATTTCAGCCTTTTCTTAAATGAAGACTTACTGAAGTTTCTAGGACATTATTACCTATTTTTTCCTTTGCCTTTTATTCCCATCGCTTTTTCATAAATGTATTTAAGTAATTTGTTTAATTTTTCTTGCTCCTTCGAGCCTTATTAATCTTTGTATTCCCAGTGTATTACATAATGCTTGATGCGTTGTTCTATTGTTGTGTGCCCTTGAGTCAGAACACACCCATAGTTGATCCTCCAGCAGATTTTCAAAGGCAGCAAATTGCATGGGTAAAGATTGTCCATCCTTCTCCTATGGGGTAGCTGGCAGATGGTGGATTTGAACCATGTGCCTTTGGGATTGCAGTACAACTTCTTACCACTAGGTTATATTATGTTGTTGGGTGCCATGGGTTGGAACTGAATTACAGTTGACCCTCTAGCAGGTTTTCAGAGGCAGTAAATCACATAAGAGGAGATTTTCCATCCTTCTTCCACAGAGCAGCCAGAGCTGGTAGCTTTGAACCGAGTGCCTTTAAGATTTCAGCTCAGGTTCTTAGGCCACAAGAGCTCAAGCTATATTGTAGCCACTTAGTAAATGTAAGCATCCGGTATTGAACAACTGGTTGAGTAGTGATTTTTACTTCTTTTCAGAATCTGTGTAATTACCCCCTTATTTAATTTTGTTGATTAACATTTCTTATGTAGATTTAATTTATAGAAATTCAGTTCTTAGTCTTAATTGAATGTAATGAATAACCTTTAAATGATGGTATTAATTGTTCTTACAAAGTATCATTGTTGTTAAGTGCTGTTGACTCCCCTGTGACTCACATTGTTGTTTTGTACCATCAAGTCAGAACCAACCCATACTTGACCCTCCAGTGGTTTTTCAGAGGTACTTAATAGCACAGGAGATTACCCATAGTGATCCTATAAACAACAGCTCTGAAGTCTGCACTATTATGAATCAGTCTCATTGACTTTGACACACCTACCCCAATCAACCCAGTTACTGACTGTCTGTGTCAGCTGGGGCCTTCCTCTCCTGTGCTGTCTCTCCATCCTTTGGAGTATAATGTCCTTCTCCAAGGATGGGTTCCTCCTAGCCATGTGCCCAAAGTATATGAGATGGAGCCACAAAATCCTAGTTCCCAAGGTGAAACTTTGTTTTACACTTTCAAAGACAGACCTGCTTATTCTCTTTGCTGTCCCTGGTATGTTCAGTACTCCTCTCCAGTACCACAATTCAAAGGCATCAATTGCACAGCTCTTTGATGCATAGCAAGTAATTGCAAAGACCATGGCCTAGATCAGGAGCACTATAGCATCGTTGCTTCTCAGTACTCTGGAGAGGTCCCTGACTGCAAATTTTCCCAGTGCAATTCACTTTTTATGTATTCAAGAATTTAATTACCTACCACCAAGAGAGGATAAAATAGATGAATGGGACCTTCTAAGAATCAAATCCCTATGCACATTGAAAAACTTTTCCAACAGGGTAAAAAGGAAAACCACAGACTAGAAAAAAAATATTTTGTAATGACATGTCTGATAAGAGACTTATTTTTAAATAATCAAGCACTACAAGATAAAGGTAAACAACCCCATTGCAAAATGGGCACAGGACATGAAAAGACACTTCACGAAAGAAGATACTCAGATGGTGAACAAACACATAAAGAAATGTTCAAAATCCCTAGCTCTGTGAGAGATGCAAATTAAAACAACTATGAGGTATTATCTCAGCCCAGTAGGAAGAGCAAAATTAGCAGAGCGGCAAACGACAAATGCTGGTGAGGTTGTGAAGAAACTGGAACCCTTATTCATTGTTGGTGGGAGTATAAAATGGTGCAATCACTATGGAAGGCAGTATGGTGCTTTCTCAATGGAAATCCAAATTCTCTGTAAATGCTCATTAAAATTATTTAAAAAAATAAAGTATGTAGTAGAAGAGAAATAAAAGTTGGAAATAGAAATACCATTTGATCCAACAATTCCACTTCTGGGAATATATCCTAAAGAAACCAGAACTGCCACCCAAGCAAATATATGCAGACCTACGTTTATTACTGCTTTGTCCACAGTAGCAAAGAATTGGAAACACAAGTGTTGCTGTACAAATGAATGGATAGAGAAACTATGGTATAGTCACATAATGGAATACTACACAGCATTGAAAAACAAGGAGCTCATGAAATACTATACAAAATGGGTGACCCTGGAGGACATTATTTTTGGTGAAATATCTCAATCACAAAAGCACAAATAGTGCATAATGCCACTGTTATAAAACAGGACTGACATCAGTTTTAGGGAGAATTTAAGTAAAGAGGGGATAAATAATGTACACTGCATTGAAATAGATGAGAGAGAGAACTGTTTAAAAGGGATTAAGATTAGGTATTATTTGCGTGGCAAGAATCCAGAATAAGAGTTGTGTAGAAAAATGGACTGGGGGAGGGGGGATTTTATAACAATGAAAGAATTTTTTTTTCTTCTCAGAAGAGAAAAGGGAACTCAGCAGGGGGTTAGGGGGAGGAGAGGGCAAGGAGGAAAATGTGCAACAATGAATGAATGGAAATCCAAGTTCTGTATAATCTTTCATTAAAATATCAATTAAAAATAATTTCATTAGTTATATAATTATATATGTAAATCCTTTTGGGAGACTTTGATTTTTCTAATGGTAAATAAAATTACTTAAATATACTATTCTTAAATTGCTTTTGCTGTTGATTGCTATCAGTCAGGTATGACTCATAGTGACTCTATGAACAAAAGACCTACTGCCTTTTCATAACTTTTTTCATTTCTCCAAGTTCACAGAGTTTCCATAGGCATGTGGTATAGGAAGTAAATACCACTCCTGCTGCCAAACCTGTTTTATAACTGGAAGCTCCCCCAAACACTATCTACATTGGGAAACCATTATGACGTTAAAAACTCCAATGGCACAAGGTTCAGCGTCAAAGCAAGCCCAGGTTACTTCATACAGCACATTTACAAAAAATGATGTAAAAAATTGGAAGTGCCCCACCACAACAAGATAAAGATAAATAATCCAATAGAA